ACACACACACACACACACACACACACACACACACACACACACACACACAATTTAAAAATATTAAATATTGAATCTTAAAAATATAAATAAAAATAAGTGGGCTCATCTGGCCCAAGCTATTATTTCTTCTTTGCCTGTTCCTCTACTGTTTATTCCAAAGTTTAGTTTTTCAAGCCTAAACATTAGCAATGTCAGGCATAAAATCATTTGAATTTATATGGATTATCTTCATTATTAAAAGGGGATAGGATGGAAGTACTTTAATAATATAAAATAAAAAAGAAAATCATGAAGAATCTGAGCTAATTGATACTTCACAATATTCCATTTCACACCTCTGTCCAGGTTCACTTGTGTGTGTGTGGTATGTGTGTGCTTGTGTCTGTGTGTATATGTATTTTATATGTTATATGCTGTGTGTAAGAGTATATGTACATATGTAATTTGCATATGTAAAACATGTTTTTGGTATATGTGTATTTATGTATTATTTGTGAATTTGCACACTTGTTTGTGTGTCTATTGTGGATGTGTGCGTGTGTGTGTGTGTTATATGCATGTGTGTAGATGCTTGTGCTTGTGAACACATACAGTGACTGGAGGAGGACAGGTCATCAAATATCTTGCTTTATCAGTCATTATCTTAGTCACTTGAGATAGTGTCTATCACTAAACCAACAGCTAGACTGGAGTAAAGCAAGTCCCTGCCTGTGATCTTCTTGTTTCACCTTTCCCAGTGCTCAGGTTCCAGGAAAATATATCCTACTTATTACATTGTATATGTGCTAAGGAATCAAATTCAGATCCTCCTGCTTGTACAGTAAGTGTTCTTACCCACTAATTTAATCTTTTCATTCCTTGATTTGATGATTTTATTAAGAATTAGCACAAATGCTATGGTTTTATAAGAATCTTTAATTATCTCATAATTTTTCAAGAACTGAACATTTACATGAAGTACAGCCAGCGATCCTAGGTTACTATGAGACAGGGAGCTTTGACAGTGAGGACAGAATCTGAGTTCTTCTCAGTCTTTTAATGTCTATCCCTTCTTAAATTGAATGTGACACTGCATAAACAGCATCATATTTTTTTCAAGATCAATACATAATGATTTGGAAAATGCCCAAGTGAAGGAAAAAGTTGTCAAGCTCTATATACAATACCCTGCAGTGTTTGAGACATTACCTATGGTGATGAATTAATAAATGCCTGCTTTATGAGAAACCCTGGTGCCCAGCTGTGAAGGAATAAGAAAGACATGTGATACAATTAGAAATGAAAGAACAGATCAAGATTTCGGAATTATATCTTCTCACTTCCAGGCTAAAGTTTTGTCCTTTGTCAGACTAAGCTTCTATGTGTTACAGCTACAATATCTCCCACATTTAGGGGTAGGATTGAGGGCTGCTGACTCAGTTGGTAGAACAGGGTGAGTACACAGAAATGACATCTCATTGTGGCAGTCCTGCCAGACATTTCTGTGACAACCACTGCCAAACTACCATTACTCTTTATATCAATTACTTTGTTCACTGTTGTGACCTGAAAAAAGCACCTTAAGAAAGAAAGGGTTTATTCTGGGCCACAGGTGAAAGGCACAGTCCAAGATAATGGGGAAAGCAAGGCAGATAGACTATGGGGCAGCTGGTCACGTTATGTCTGCAGTCATGAACTAGAGAAAGATTAATGTTGGTGCGTGGCCTGTTTTCTCCCATCTATCTAGTCCAGGTTCCCAGTCTAGTGTATGATGCCACATACACTTAATCTGAGTCTGAAAATACAAAGTCCTGAGCAGCGTATACATTTGATAGTGTAAACAATCACAAAACATTTTTAAAGACACAACATACAAATGAAATGTTATGTTAATAAACTTGCAAATAACTATATTAAACACTTAGCATAGAATATGTTTTGTATATACTTATTAAAATAAATAAAAATGTCATAAAAAAACTTTAGAAAAAAACACTTGGAAAAGATGAAAGAATACAAAGAAATACAAAATGTTCAAGAGATACACCATGTTATATAGGTCAGTCCACAGAAGATTCTTTAGAATCTAGAATGCCTTATTAAAGAATCTGTGAGTTTCTGTTACATATAATTCCTTCTAATATTTCATGTCCCTGAGACAGTATTATCTTCATAAAGTTTCGGCCCTGGATTTTTGACAGTTTTTTCTCTGAAAGAGAATCTGGATACTCACCTACAAATAACAGTATAAACATGGAGAATGGTATGTGGGGTTGTCTGCGTAAATTACAGAGCACTAGTGTTTCTGATTCCACATCAGTTCATAAGCACCTATACACTTTACTTTTTCTTTTTTGTATGTTCATACATGTGCAAGCGCTTGCCTATATAAGTACACATTTAAGTGAGTGTGCATATTTATATTGCAAATGGAGGCTCATTATTCTTCTTGATTTCTCTTTCTTACAGACTTTTCTTTAGTAACCTCCTAGTTTTGTGTCTTACATACATATAGATATGTACATTTAATCAAGCCTGCATTATTTGTCTTTCTGATTCTAGATTAATCAACTCATCATGATGATTTCTGGTTCCATCCATTTTCATGTCAATCATGTAATTCCACAGTTATTCATAACTAAATAGAATTCTGTTGTGCATCTAGATCCTATTTTCTATACCCATTATTTTGGTGATAAACAATTCCAGCTGATCTCAAGTCTTGTGTATTGAAAACAGTGTTACATATACATATTTGTGCAAGTCCAACTGTGGGTGCTGACTTGGATTCCTCGAGAAATTTTTCTGGTAATGTAAGTGGACCTTATGTTAGCCATATTATTATCTTTACATGGGACCTCCATGTTGATTCCCAGAATGACTGTAACTGTTGTTATTCCTGCCAACTCTATGTAAGAGCAACTTCTCAACATTCTCCCTAGCATTTTTTTATTTCCCTGATTCTTGAGAATGCTAAACATTTTTCATAGATTCAGTGACAATTTTTACCACATTTTTGATCATCATTCATTACTTTGATAAACTGATAGATATTTTTGCTTAATATTTTGAGTCCACTATAGAATCTGGATTTTAAGGACATTAGTTGAATGTATCATTGTTAAGGTTTGTCATGTACACTTCTTATTGTTCATGTTCATTTTCATCTTGAGTAGAGTTAAAATCTCCATGGAAATATATCTGTGAGTGTGTCTCTGAGGATATTTCCAAAAAGTTTAAATGGGTAGAGAAGACCAAAATTGAGTGTGGCTGAAACTATAGGTGGAGTTCTGGACTGAAAAAACAGGGAAATATAAGAACTTGCACTCTTCTGCCTTTGCTTCCTGATACACACCACATAATGGGAATCCTCATCTTTCTGTCCCTTTTTGTCCTCCACTGAAATGATCTGTACTATCAACTGGAGCCCAAATAGATCTATTCTTCTGTAAGTTGCTGCCTGTTGGGTATCTGGTCACAGCAACAAGACAAGAAACTAATACAATTACCATCTGCTATTAATTTGCTGAAATGATTTGCCGATAATAGGTGATTAGATAGATACTTTATTGGATATAGATTTTATCCTAATCACATTTTTTCCTTTTGCTTTTAATTTTGAAAACAATATTACATAGTGTCCTTTGTAAAGCCAATCTTGGCATGTTTACTCATGCTAAATTCTTTTAGGTTTCCTACTCTCTCAGTGACATGTTTACTCTTAATACAGTTCTTCTCCAGGCATCAACCATTCTTTCCTTTTTTTTTCTTATTTTTAATTTAATTTTTTTTGAACATGAAATGCTTTTTTGTAGCATGTTTTACAAGGGGAGGGGGGTTAGAGGGGTCAGGTGGTGGAAAAGTACAGAATCTTCTTGGCCTGTGCCTTGAAACATGTCATGGTCTATACGGTACACTGCCTTGAATTATGATCTATCTGCTATTCTTCAGAAGATATGGT